GTACGATGAGCATCTGTCATGAGTGGTCAGCACACAGGAGTACAAGCAAGAATCAGAGAGATGGACAAACATGCATTCAGTCCATCGTAGATCACACTGTTTAAACCTTGTTCTTGTGGACTGTGTGAAGTCGGATCCGGATGCTGCACGTTTCTGTTCCTCACTGGAGAGGCTGTATGTTTTCTTCTCCAGTTCATGCGTTCACCACAAATGGCTAGAAGAGCAAAGTGAGTTGATCGAGGGAGAACCAAGAGAACTCCAGAGATCGAGTGATACAGGTGGGTTTGCAGGGATATAACTTGTCGAAATCTAATGGGTCGATTGTCGGCTGTCAAGAGTGCTTGAGGACATTTCAGAGGAAGTCTTCCTGATAGGGCTGTAGATGCGAGGGGGTTACTTGCTCAGATTGATTTAATTTCATTGGGCTTTTGTCAGTCTACAAAAAAGTTCTTGGTAGCACAACATTTTTATCAGACATGCTTCAGTCTCCCAAGTTAGAGATGTAAAAAGCAGTAGATCTCATTGGAGAACTGAAACAAACCTTTAAAGAGGACCATAGTGAGACTTCCTTCAACAATCTCTGGGATGAGATTATCAAGACATGACAATTGCAGCATTTCCTCAGACATGACACTTCCTAAGCGAAACGACAGCTATCTTGAACACTGCAGGGTTGTGTCAGAACATCTACAGTCGGACAGCATGTGGAGATGGACAGTAAGGAAGCCTTTAAATCATGTTTACTACCCAATCATTGACTGTATGACTGGAGAAATAGAGAGGCGTTTCACTAAATTAAACTGTGGGATCGTGAAAGGAATTCAAGCACTTAACCCCTCAAACAGCAACTTTCTGGATGAAGAAGGCATTGCACTCTTAGCCAAGGCTTATGATGCAGATATGGAGGAGCTAAAACACGAGCTACATCAGACCAGACCAATTTTAAGCAGGAAAAAGTCTGATGGACAGATGATGATGAAATTCACCAGGTTTCTTGAACCTTTTAAAGAAATCTTCTTTGAGTTTTTCCGTCTTGCAAAAATCGCTGTTGTACCTGTAAGTAGTGCCTCATGTGAGCGCCGTTTCTCTACGCTGAAACTTGTAAAAACTCACTTGCACTCCACTGTGTCATATAGTAGACTAAACAATTTGTCAATACTTAGTATTGAGTTTGAGCGTCCAAAGGCAATAGACATGGATGTTCTCATTAAACGGTTTTGTGCACAGCATGGTAACTCAGCTCTTCTGATTTTTTGGGTTCTCATGTTTGACTGTTTGTCTGACTAGAGTAACTAGGTTCACATAATCAGTTACAGTAGTATATCTACTTCTCTGTGTCATATTCTAAATTTTTTGTACAGTCGAGAACTTCACGGTCGCAGCGCGAGACTTTCATCAGCGCCTTGATCAGCTCGACACTTCTAAGTACGAATTGTTGTAATATAGTAATTTGCCAATAGATGTCACTGTTGTATTAAGTGAGTCACCACAGTTCTGTTATTTCTTCTTCGCTGTTTTTCTCTCTCTCGCTGGAGTTAATAAAAAGGACACGTGAACTTTCAACAGGTTATGGGCCCAGATCCTCGCTAAAGAAATAGACAGTGTACTGGAACTCACAATGGAGGATAAACTGTTTATTGAAAAGCTGAGTGGGCCAGAGAACTGGGCAACGTGGAAATTTCAAATGGAACATTTGCTGAAAGCTAAAGGACTATGGGGCATGGTGATGGAGACAGACAACGTGGCAGATGGAGCAAATGCACAGGCAAGAGCAGAATTTGAAAAACGGAAGGAAAAAGCATTTTCTGTGTTGGTGCTGAATGTAAGTACATCTCAGTTGTATCTGATAACAAGCTGTAAGACCCCTGAGGAAGCTTGGAACACACTAAAGGGACATTTTGAAAGAGACACTCTTGCAAACAAACTGTTTCTGAAGAAAAAATACTTTAGATGTGAAATGAAAGAAGGAGAAAATCTAACTGAACATTTGAAACGAATGAAGGAATTAACTGACCAGCTGGGGGCAATAGGCGCATTGATTGAAGAAGAGGATCAGATTGTAACACTGCTCGGTAGCTTACCACCAAGCTATGCTACAATTGTCACTGCACTGGAAACTAAGTTGGACAGTTTAACGCTGCAGTTTGTTCAGCAAGCATTAATAAATGATGAACAAAAACGAGTGTCTGCTGAGGGTAACTATAGTGGTGCTTTATCCGGTGGTGCGTCAGCGATGTCAATACAAGTTCGCAGTGATATGCAGGCTATCTCCAAGACAGTGAGAGATGACAGATCTAGTTCGTGGAGATGTTACAAGTGTGGAAAAGAAGGACATATCAAACGTGACTGTCCAAGTAAGAAAAAACAGACTAAAATTCACAAAGCAAAACATGTAACATGTGACCATGATGAAGAATCATCTGAGAGTGCCTTTATTGCTAGAGAAAATCAGGATAAGACAACACAACAGGTCGAGTGGTTGATCGATTCTGGAGCTTCAAAGCACATGACGTGTCATAAAGAAATTCTTCAAGACTACCAGCAATTTCCTAAAGCACAGTCTGTGAAACTTGGTGATGGAAGAGTGGTTGACGCTCTAGGAGTTGGTAATGTTAAACTGAGAATGACATTAAAAATGAGTGATGTACAAAATGTCACAATGTTTGATGTGCTGTATGTTCCCAAGTTATCCGGGAATCTCTTCTCAGTGGGAGCTGCAGTAAAAAAAGGGAATACTGTGCAGTTCAAGAAGTCTCGCTGCTACATTCGTAACAAAAATGGAAATCTCAGAGGAATGGGAACACAAAGATCTGATGGATTGTATCAGCTGGATGTAGAGGGAAGTGTCCATTGTGCGTCAAGTGCACTAGCAGCAACCAGCTTGTGGCATCAGCGTCTGGGACACACCACTAAGTTGAAGGAACTGAAAAAAACTGGTAAATGGAGTAGACTTTCCTGAAGAGAAAGAAGTTCTTTTCTGTGAAGCATGTGTGGAAGGCAAGCTGTCAAGGAAGCCACATTAGCCAGTAGGAGAAATTCGTTCAAAACGTAAACTACAGTTGGTGCATAGGGACGTCTGTGGTCCAATGCAGACTGAGTCCATAGGTGGATCAAAGTACTTTGTGACTTTTATTGATGATTATTCTAGATGTTGCAAAGTATACTTCATGAAACAAAAGAGTGAAGTTCTTTCCAAATTCAAGGAATTTGAGAAAACATTATCCAATGAGTGCGGGCAGAAAATTGCAAGACTGAGAACGGATAATGGTGGGGAATACACTTCAAAAGAATTTCAAGAATACTTGAAGGTTCAAGGTATCCATCATGAGACAACTGTACCTCACACACCACAGCAAAATGGTGTGGCAGAAAGAAAGAACAGGACATTAATTGAAGCAGCAAGAACCATGCTCTCTCATGCTAAATTAACAAAGTCGTACTGGGCAGAGGCTGTAGCGACTGCAGCTTACACACAGAACAGACTCCCCACATCTGTTCTGAAACAAGTGACGCCGTATCGGAGATGGTGCGACAAACAACCAAATGTGAGTCACATGAAAGTGTTTGGTTGTGTAGCTTATGCACATGTCCCAGACACAGAAAGAAGAAAACTGGACAAGAAGGCTGTGAAGCTTCGTTTCGTGGGATATGCCAACAATGCCAAGGGCTATCGTTTGTATGATGAAGTAAAAAAGAGGATTCTGATTCGTCGGGATGTGATCTTCAACGAGTCAGATTTTGACTTGAAACAGGAAGTGGACATTTCTTGTTCAGAGAACGAAGTGGTCATGAAAACTGACGAGAGAACATCAGTTGATGCAACTGTTGATGAAACTACTAGAGTAGGTGGCAGAATCAGAAAGCCACCTAAGAGATTTGGTTATGACGAGTTTGCTGATCTGGTGACTGTTGAACATTATGCTAGTTTTTGTTGTGATGCAGAACCAAGTACACTGAAAGAGGCAATGATGAGTTAAATACTGACAGAACTTTTATTTTTGGGTGAACTAACCCTTTAATATAAAAAAAAACATTTGACAGAAATAAATGTTCAGTGAAATGATTTGCATAATCTTTGTCTTCCTCTGCTGGTATAATTTACAACATCTCTTCTGTAGACAGACTCTTGATCAAACTTATAACATTTTTCCCAGCGCTGTCTGTATCGCACAATAAATCTATTGTCTAAGGCTTGTTTTCACTTTAACCGTTTGACACGTATTTTGAGTGTTTCTCCTTCTACATTGTAATCAATATCTAATAAAGTTGAAACAATTCAAAGCTGCTATTTTCAGCACTCATTTTCATGAGCCATTACTATAAAACAAGAAACTGGTGTGAAGTCACACACACACGTCAGTGTGATCGCTGTGTGTTTCTGTGTCTTCAGTCTCTTTATTCACCATCAGCTGATCCTGAGGAAACTGAACTGACGTCTTAACACTGAGAGTCCTACAATAAAACACACACACACACATATGAGTACGAGACATTACTGAGTCACATCACATCTGGAGATCATTTCAGGAAAACAGACAAAGATATTAATATATTAGTACACTTTATTTATCGTTCATGTAAACACTACGTTTGGATTCATCAGTCGGAATGAATTAATTCCAATTGAACCAAAAGTTGTGCATGTAAACATGTAAGAGATGAAAATATTCATATAGACCGAGCCTATTCATAGATCATATTCACATCACAGAATTAAACTCTTATTAAAAACAGTTTACAGAGAATAAAGTGGAGCTGAATTATTATCTTATATTCTCCAGTTTCACACATATGAGACCCGTTACTGAGATTGGCTCAATATAAAGATTGGAAAATATACTCACAGTAGAGTAATGTCTTCAGTTTATAATGTGGATCATCCTTCAGTTTAGAGAGCAACTTCTTTCCTGATTCTCTTATTTTATTCCCAGACAGATCCAGATATCTCAGGTGTTCAGGGTTTGATCTCAGAGCTGAAGTCAGAGCAGCAAAACCTTCATCTGTGACGCCACAATCCCTCAACCTGTAGAGAACAACGACACACACTTCACTCTCTCAGTTCAGATCAGATCAGTTTAGCAGTGAATCCATTATTAAAGAGAAAGTTCAAACTTAAAGCACAAATTAATATGTTTGAGGGATCATTAGATTGAGATCTAAAATGTCACAAAACATGATCATACAACATCTAAAGTATCATTCAATCAGGAAAAATAATCTCTTATTTGCACTATATTAAAATTCAGTCTTGTGCAAAATCTGCTTTCATAAATGACACTTTTCACTATAGTTTTACTGTTATTTACTAGATCTGTACTATGTAATATACTGTACATGGAGTGTCAATTAGTGTGCGTGTGTGTTTTAATTTTACCAACTGAAAAACAATCCTCTAGAAAGAGTCAGTGCAGAAAGATGAAGATAATTAACAGTAAGAATGAATCCAGCATGTTCTTCATTTCTCAGTTTTGACGGTGTTGAGCTCGAGTCTGATTAAAGTCAAGAGACCTTTTTCACAAAAAACGGAAATATACGTAATCGTTGTGGAAACGGAGTTCCCGTCGACTGTCGACACATCAGAAAAACCTACTCTGGGAGGAGAAAATTGATCAGAGAGTCTTCAAAACTTCAAAAAAATGTAAACTTGTCATGGTCCAGTTGTTGATGACTTTGTAAAATGCTGTGGTGATGCTTGTCTGCAGCTGATGTATCTAAGACCAAAGATATGATATTATCAGAACTGAAGCTCATTCTTCCCAATATACGTTCATTAAAGGTAAGAAGGTGGAGTGTGTGGAAAGTTATTAATATTTAGGGAGTATTATTTACAATAAACTGCATTTTGATGTGAATACCAGAAAGAAGTCTGTCAGTTTTATTCAACAGTTATTCTCTAGGTAATGAATTTTTTGCACTGCTCTTGCTATAGAACGATCAAAGATGAAGAACAATTTATACAAATATTAATTTATCCCTTGTACACTCAGATTGTTAAATACTCAGAATGGTATATATTTGAGAGACAGGACCACAGGTGCTTAGGAGGCTATAGTTCTCGCCCTGGAGCGTCGGTCAAAACGCAGGACAGGAGGCATGGATCAGATTGAACGTTTTACTCAACTTTCTTCAGCAGCACAGACATACATTAGACATCAATTACAGGTGCAGATTTGAATGTAGTAGTTGCCTCTCAGCTTATATTAATGGAAATGGTAGGTTAACATTTTGGGCTTGAGTGTATTAGTGTAGTTTTCTCATAAGGACGTACACCGTTATTAATGTTAAACACGAACACTGCACCGCGACTTCTTGAACAGTCTTCCTGTGGAGAATGCAGCCGTTTGTATCACGCGCATTTCTCATGCGCAATCACTTCCAGTCCACCCGCTAATGGCCACTAGATGGCGCCTTGGCGCTACCTTTATAACAGCCGCCCCCACATTTGCGATGCAAATGTGCTCCAATTGAATGTTAATCCTCCGCAGGCAATTCAGGCAGCTGAATTAGCTTTACCACAGGTCTGGTGAAGCTTTTGTCCTTGACTTTTACCTCAGCTGCTCTCACATGTCCATCAGCGCCTGAAAACACCTTTACCACTTTGCCTACTAACCATAGAGCCCTTGGTAATTGGGTGTCAACCATCATTACAACACACCCCTCCGTAAGGTCCTCAGTAGTCCTTTGCCATTTTTGCCTCAGCTGAAGACCTGGTAAGTAGTAGCTTATGAACTTGGCCCAGAAATGATCCACCAGTATCTGACTTTGTCTCCACCGTCTACGACTTAGGCGTTCAGAATCTTGGTAGACAACTTGCGGCAATGAACTACTGGGCCGCCCCATCAAAAGATGATTTGGTGTTATTGGGTCAACATCTGCGATGTTAGCTGACACATACCCCAAAGGTTTGGAATTCAAAATAGCCTCCACTTCAATCAAAACTGTTCTGAGTACTTCCTCAGGAACGCTTTGTGCTCCAATTGTGGTGCTGAGTGCTGCTTTTACAGAGCGAATTTCTCGCTCCCACACTCCTCCAAAGTGTGGAGCCGCTGGAGGATTAAAATGGAAGTTGATTTGATGTTTCGCCAGCAACCCTTGCAGGTCCGGACTCATGGCAGTGAAAGCCTCTCTCAACTCATTCTCTCCCCCTCTAAAATTCGTCCCCTGATCAGAGTGAAGTTCAGCAGGGGTACCACGACGTGCAGTAAACCTCCGTACTGCCATCAAGAAGGCATCCGTGTCGATAGAGGTAAGTACATCAAGATGCACTGCTCGAGTGGTAAGACATTTGAATATGATACCCCATCTTTTTTCTGTACGCCTGCCAATCTTCACATGGAATGGCCCAAAGCTGTCCATCCCGGTGGAATAGAACGCTGGCTTGAACAAACGAAGTCGAGCAGGTGGCAAGTCAGCCATCTTCGGTGAAACAGGTTTGGATCTTAACTTCCGACACTCCAGACAAGCATATTGATGCTTTCGAACAGCCTCACGCCCTCTCAAAATCCAGTACGACCGTCGGAGTTCAGCGAAGACCCGCTCTGGTCCAGGATGGCATAATCTCTGGTCGAAATCCTGGATTAGCAGTTTGGTAATACAGTGGCTTGGATCCAACACAATTGGGTGTTTGAAGTTAGGATCCAAATCCTCTGCTCTTCGGAGGCGTCCACCAACTCGAATGACCTCATCTGTTGCATCAAATTCAGGGGCCAGAACAAGAAGGCGGCTACTGGAAGGAACTGATTTATTGGCTTTGAGAAGGTTATATTCCTCTTGGAAACTTTCCTGCTGAGAATGTTTAAGGAGGAGAGAGATTGCCTGCTGATAAGTTCCTGCACTGGATGGAGCAGCTTGACCTGCTTCCTCAGGCTGAAGGGTGCTTACTGTGGCTTCAACCAGTTCACTCCAAGTAGCATACCTGCTGGAGTCTGGGACAGACCTATCGGAACTTGAGATGTAATGGCAGAACAAGGAACGTCGTAGCTCGGTAGGATCTTCTTTGCCGGACCCTGCTGGAGCTTCTGGCCACTCATCAGGTGGTTGTAAAAGAAAAGATGGACCCTGACACCACCTATTTGGTTGTGCTAGTTCCACCAATGATTTACCCCTGGTCAAATCATCTGCCGGGTTAAGTGTTGATCTCACATACCTCCACGATTGCTGATCAGTGAGCTCTTGGATTTCAGCAACCCTGGTTCCCACAAAGACCTTGAATCGACACGAGTTTGACTGGAGCCATGTCAGAACAGTGGTCGAGTCAGACCACAAGATGGTATTTCTGATTGGTAAGGTGAGCTCACTGATTATCAACTTTGCAAGTTGGGCTCCAGTGACTGCTGCACAAAGCTCCAGTCTTGGCATGGATTGTTGTCTTTTTGGCGCAACTCGAGATCTGGCCAGCAGAAATGCCAAGTGGACACCACCTTCTGCATCTTCTGAGCGTAGGTAGGCCACTGAACCATATGCTCTCTCAGATGCATCACAGAACACATGAACATCTCGTATCACGTCTGGCTGATCCATAGTTGTTGGAACATAACAGCGAGGTAAGGTAATGCGAGATAATTCAGGCAGTTCTGCTACCCATGTATTCCAGGCTTGGAGCAGCTCCTCAGGTAGTAATGGGTCATCCCATTCTCGTTGTTTATCCCAGAGTCTCTGTACAATCACTTTAGCCCGAGTAGTATATGGTAGTATTAGCCCCAACGGGTCATACTGTCTGGCCAATGTACGGTACACAGTGCGCATTGTGGTTGGGCCGTAATCATCCAGTCGATGTTTATAACCGATGGTATCTGTAGGGCAATGCCATCTTAGACCTAAGGTAGACTCTTGAACATCAGAAGAACTTTGGGTGAGCCACAATTCAGCGTTATCTGAAGCGAGCTTCTTGAGGAAGATGGCTAAGGATGTCAGGGGCGTTGCTGGCCCACTGGCGGATCTCGAAGCCCCCCGATGCCAACAGGACACGTAATTTATCAAGTAGATCTTTGGCATCAGCTTTTGATGAGAGACTCTGTAAACAGTTGTCTACATAGAAACACCTGTCTACTGAATTCCTGACATCTTCTCCCTCGGTGCTGTGATCGTACACGTGTTTTTGCAGGGCGAATGTGGCACAACAAGGAGAACATGTGGTCCCAAACGGCAGAACCTGCCACTCATAGACCACAGGAGGCATATCACGGCAGAGGTTTCGCCACACAAAACGAAGAAGGGACTTGTCCTCAGGCAGAAGGCAGACCTGGTGGAACATTGCCTTTATGTCCCCGCTTATTGCAATGGCATGCTCTCGAAAACGAAGCAAGACCCCCAGAAGTGATGGGCCAAGGGTAGGCCCAGGAAGGAGAGATTCGTTGAGGTTGCGACCCTGGGATTGGTAAGAACAATTGAATACTAAGCGGTTCTTCCCATTATGTTGTACCAAATGATGGGGAATGAACCACGATTCCTCACTCTGTGCAGCCTCCTCCTCAGTCAGCTTACGTACTGAGCCTGCCAATTCAAGCTTGCTCATTTCTGTAATGTATGCGGAAGCTTTGTCCTCATCTTTCACAAGTCGTTTCTCTGTTCCTCGGAGGCTTGGCATGACAGCATCTTTGGTTGCATGGAAAGGGGTAGTATTTATCCTCCGTAGCAAAGGGGTCGCATAGTGCTGAATCTTGTTATGCTCAATACGGATCGTCTTACTTTCCAGAAGTGAGAGTGCCTCTTGATCCTCTCGAGATCTAGTTATCTGTTTCTCTGATTTGAATGGTAGCGTGTCCACCTGCCACAGCTTCTCCACATTTCTCAGCAGTTCAGCTGTTTCAGAGTTTACCGAGGTCAGGTAACAGTTCTGAGATCTAGGATACTGTGGTAGACCCCTAGCTGGGCCCTGCAGTGTCCACCCTAACCTGGTCCGTATAGCGACCGGTCCTCCTGGTGGTCCATAAAGCACTGGTTCTGTTGGTGTGATCAAATGAGGCTGGTCAGCTCCAATGAGAAGAAGAGGGTGAACTTGATCAAAGGGCTCAAGGGGCAAACCTCTGAGGTGCTTATACCTTTTTTGCAAGATGGTCAGTTGGTAAGAATGATCAGCCAGTCCCAGATTCTGAGCAGTGAATGCTCCACTAATGTGGTAATTCCGGTTTGGCTGTGAGGCAGGGGAAACACTAAAAGAAACAGATGCTCCTTGAAGTACTTGGGTTTCTTGCCTTATTGTTCTCAAGGCCAGTTCCTCAGGAATTCCACGCAGGCCAAGCTTATTTGCTGCCTCGCAGAGGAGTATGGTCCTCTCCGAACCATCGTCGAGTACAGCATAAGTCTCCAGAGCTTGTTCACAATACTGCAGACGAACCTTTACCACCTTCAGCAATACCCGGCTGCAGTCCGTAGGTCGATTTAGATAAGCAGTGCCAACTGCGGAGCTCAACATGCATATGCCCTCTTTACTTGCCTTAGAATTTACTCCATGCAGTATCTGTAGGTGTTTGTTCTGGCAAATGCTGCAAGGTTTCTTGAGAGTGCAGTCTGTAACAGCATGAGACCGACCACATTTTATGCACCTCTTGTTATCAATAATCCACTTATGGATCTGCTCAGGAGAGAAAGTCTGGAAAGTAGCACACTGACTTAAGAAATGTTCAGAGCTTTCACAGTATGGACAATATGGTTGCACTTTAACTCTCTTCTTGCCTGAGTTGAACTCTTTAGGTCCTGATGCTGGTCCCTTCATCTGTGAGGCAGCTTTGGCACCATGGAGAATAGTGGCTGGTCTGGTGAAGCGGGCTGGCTTTGTCCGGCTCTCCTGATTACGTTTGTTGGGTGGTTCTGTATGGCCCTGACACCATGCTTCATACTGGAGCCACTTGGAGAATTCAGGTAATGTATACATTGAATCAGACTGATAATATAGGTGTCTGCGGAAGTCTGCACACAACTCTGAAGGTAGTTTACCCATCAGTCTGGCGACGTGGGAGCCACATTTTAATTCCACTTCTCCCTCTGCGCCAAGGGTTTCCAGCATCCCAACAAGGGCTCTGATCTGCAGTGCGAACCTTTGAAATGCCTCATGATCTCCTCGTTTGATGTCAGGAGCATCCATGACCTGTGCTATTCTTTTGAGTGCTAACTGATGCGGCTGACCAAATCTCTCATTTAGGGCTGTCATTGTGTCCGAGTATGGAGTGGTAGAGTTCAGGTAAGAGTCAGCGATAAGGGAGGCTTCCTCTAATTTAAGATGGTCGACCAATATTTGGTATTTGAAGAGCTCGGTAGCACCTGATGGCAGTAGGTTCTCCAATGACATCTTCAGCCTGGCAAATTCTGCAGGGTCTCGATGAATCAACATGGGAATACGTGGCTTAGGGCGTTGATACGATGAACTGTACTGACCCTGGGTATTGGTCTGGCATGAGGCTTGACTTGTTATCCTCTCTGTGAGGCCTGAATGAATGATTATGGAATGAGTTTCCACTGACGGGAGCATACCGTCCATAGTAGGGCTCCGCTACTGCTCTCTCGGGGGCTAGTCTCACCGGGTTTGAATAACTAACAGAAGTAGCATGAGTGACTGGGAATACACGCTCTTTTCTAGCTATGTAAGGAACATCATCACATACCGGAGGTGGCGGTTCAGGCCATGACTCATCATCTTGAGGACCTTCCACTGTCGGTATAGGTCTCTGTGGTGTTACGCGGGTAACTGAATGTGAATCAACCAAGGACGCCGATGATACTTGGGATCGGAGTGGAGAGACTTGCGATGAAGCAAAGAAGGAAGCTGGTGATGATAAGGGAGCAGGGTGTGAAAGTGGCTGCCTTGTTACAGGAAAAAGGGCTCGGCTGTCTTCCAGTAATAGGTGAGTATCTGCACTTGAGGTTTCCTCCAAAGTCCCACGGCATTTGGCCAATACATGCTGGCGCACTCGATCGCGTAAACTTTGAATGAGCTTGGTGTCTTGGCTAAACTGAGCTTGAATGTCCTCTAATTCAGTATAAAATGATCCCCACTCATCTCTTGCTTCATACCGACTTCCAGATCTGGCCGATGCAGGTCCCGCTGAGTACATCATTCTAGCAGTTTCATCATTCTCTGCATCGTACTCCTTTCCAAGTCTAAATGTAGTCTGTGCTGCAGTATCTTCTGTATAAGAGGAAGTCAGTTCTCTGTGGCCTGTTATGTTCACTTGGTAGTCTGACAAATAGGTTGGCAGTCTGACTTGCCGTTTTGGCCGCACAGATACTGAAAGGGCTTCACTCATTTCTTTAGAAGTAGCCATCCTTAACCAAGGTAAGCACTGAGATCCGGCTCGAAGGACCAATATTTGAGAGACAGGACCACAGGTGCTTAGGAGGCTATAGTTCTCGCCCTGGAGCGTCGGTCAAAACGCAGGACAGGAGGCATGGATCAGATTGAACGTTTTACTCAACTTTCTTCAGCAGCACAGACATACATTAGACATCAATTACAGGTGCAGATTTGAATGTAGTAGTTGCCTCTCAGCTTATATTAATATAGGTAGGTTAACATTTTGGGCTTGAGTGTATTAGTGTAGTTTTCTCATAAGGACGTACACCGTTATTAATGTTAAACACGAACACTGCACCGCGACTTCTTGAACAGTCTTCCTGTGGAGAATGCAGCCGTTTGTATCACGCGCATTTCTCATGCGCAATCACTTCCAGTCCACCCGCTAATGGCCACTAGATGGCGCCTTGGCGCTACCTTTAATATTAATATTTTAAATTTATATGTAGCCCACTGTTGTGTGTTATTATTTATCTTGTTTTATATTGTGGTGTATATTTTTATGTGCTTATTCCGCTGGATACAAATATCTTAATACAGTTGAGCATGAACTAACGTTACTTCAAAATACACAAATCATAAAACATAAAAAATAAACAAACAATGACAGCTTAGTGTATGGTGACATGAGAGAAGTACAGAAGATCACAGGATCAATAACATCCCGCCAGATTGCCTGAATCCATTTCCGTTGAACTTCATCGACAGGGAACTGACGAGGAAAGGAATGAAAACGACAGGTATGGCTGCTTTTGGGAATAACAAAAAAGATCGGTACGCAACAACTCTCACTAGTTGCCTGCGGCGCTATCTGTTATGAATGGAGCGGAAGAAGATTACCACGACAATTGAGTATTTCCGGTCACAAATACGGAAGTTGTGAGAAAGGTCTAGAGACTGAAATGTTGATTGTGTGTGAAAGTGTGTATTTCAGTGTGACTCTCAGTCCTGCAGTTTCATGTTATTGAGGATCAGCTCGTGTGTTCAATCATTTCCACTCAATAATCTGAACTCACAGCAGCAGAAAGAGGCTGAACACTTCAAATATACTTTACATTGTGATTCATGTGTGAGAGTCAAATATGATCTTACCACAGTTTCTCCAGTTTACAGTGAGGATTCTGTAGTACATCACACAGCAGATTCACTGATTCTCCCATTTTATTAAATGACAGATTCAGATCTCTCAGGTGTTCAGGGTTTGATCTCAGAGCTGAAGTCAGAGCAGCAAAACCTTCATCTGTGACACCACAATTCCTCAACCTGTAGAGAACAACGACACACACTTCACTCTCTAAGTTCAGATCAGATCAGTTTAGCAGTGAATCCATTTTTAAAGGGACTGTGTGTAACTTTTTATGTAATATATTATTTAAAATCAATATTCACAGAATATTCAAATCTCACAGAGACGGAGAGAGTGAGTATTAGCTGTCCATGAGCGGCAGCAGGATCAACTTTATCTCCCTCGACTTTATCAGACTTTATGCCTCCACGACCCCCGATTGCTTGTGAGCTTCTCCTCCTGTCTATACTGTAATTTCTCTACTGTGCGACGGAGAGTCGATTCGTTATGAAGCAAATGTTAACCTATTTTAACAAAAACTGCTTCTACGGGGCCATAACGTAAGATACAAGGTAATTGTTTAAAACCAAGGGGCTAATCCATCAGCCGGAAGTTGAAGCCTAGCGGGAGCCGCCATTGTAGCAGAACCTGCTGTTAGCATCCCATTGACTCCCATTCATTTTGGTGTCACTTTGACAGCGAATAACTTTACATCTGAGGCATCAAAAGACTTAATTTGTCCATTATTTATTTCAAAAGAAACACGACAACGTATAAAACCCTCCATTACCTTGTATCTTACGTTATTGCCCTGTAAAAGCAGTTTTTGTAAAAATAGGCTGTAGCAAGGTTCAGGGAAGAAGGAGGCAGGAACCGGATGACAATAAAAAAATAAAACTTTATTTAAACAAATTACCCAAAATAAAACATAAATACCGGCCAGCAGCCCCTCGTGGACGACTGCTGGCTTACCAAAATAAAATATAAAACACAAACAAAAGCAGGCCTGTTCCTCTCTCGATCATCCACTCTGTCGCTCCCCCTTTATGGCTCCGCTCCTCCGTGAATGATGCGAGACCGGTGTGCTTCACAGGTGCTGCTCATTAGCACTCGCACCACCGGCCTCGCGACTTTCTTTCACGTCCCTCGGCCGTCCTGCTCACCACATAGGCGAATGATTGCCTCATTACGAATCAACTCTCCGTCGCACAGTAGAGAAATTACAGTATAGACAGGAGGAGAAGCTCACAAGCAATCGGGGGACGTGGAGGCATAAAGTCTGATAAAGTCGAGGGAGAAGCCCATAGAGAGTCATAAAGTTGATCCTGCTGCTGCTCATGGACAGCTTATACTCACTCTCTCTGACTCTGTGAGATTCGGAAGAGAATTATTCAGATTTCACTCGGTACAGCTACTAGAAGACATACAGGCTGCTCACGTGACAGGCTCAGTTTGAGCAGTACGCCTGGCGATCAGCTTTTAACGGGCTTCAATTTTCTCGGTTGAAATCAATGGGGTCACTGTGTCCATTTTTAAAATACGCAGTTTATTCGTTCAGCTGCATTTCCTTTCCCTGCTCCCTATGTCTCTGTCACATGCACACGCGCACACACACACACACACACACACACACACACACACAGCCCTTTCCTCCATGCACACAGTCTCCATGATAACGAGGGTTCGAATTCGGCAAGTTTGTGAAAGGTTAATATGTCGTGATCACCTTTACACAATCACTGTGATAATGTCGACCCGAGAAGCGATTATGCCTACTTTAGAAAGTTAACTAGTCGCAAATTGGAGGTAAAATGAAAGTTGTGATTCAAATATTAAAGGTTCTCTAAGCGATGCTGGGCCAAAACATTTTTTGTCACATACATCAAACGTCTCCTCACTATCGGCTGGCTGCCTGTCCCCTAAACACACTGTAAAAAAACGCGGTCTCTGTAGACACCACAGGCTCCACAAACGGCAACAAAAACAATCATGTCTCACCCGGACCACGAAACCTAACAAACAGTGTTCCAGCCAATCACTGGCAAGAAGTATTTGAGGGTGGGTCTGGGGGGTTAGTGCGCGTGCACATGAAGGGTGTGTGTGTGTGTGTGTGTGTGTGTGAAGGAGAGCAGCGAAGCATAAGAGGGAAGTTTGAAAAATGGCCGAAACACGACCAAAGAGACGTCGTTCTGAAGAACAAATTAAAAAGAAGAAGGAGTCGGATAAAGAATGTGCGAAGTTCCGAATTTACATCGGTAGCAAAGCTTTTGAACGATGGCGAGGACTCCGGCGGCAGAAGGGCTTCCAGTCCGACATTCAGGTTGCTCTGATTTTGCTGGACAGGTGGGTAACGTTAAATTGTTTTTCTTCTAAATTGACGCTTATGTTCGCCAAACCCACACAAGGATATAATTAGCTAGAACTATGCAGTCAGCGAAATGCATGTTCACAATTATTTCAGGAAGCACGGAAGGGAGGGGGAGATGAGATGCGGAGGAGGGAGGGTCTAGCTCCGATTTGTTTGAAAATATTCGAACGTCAACACACAGGATCGCTTTGAGAACCTTTAAACTATAAGCTGTGATTCAAATATGAAATATTGTCATTATTTTAACCTTACACTGAATTGTTGCTCGTTCAATCCAGATGGGTTGTATAGGGTAAATTTAGCATCAGGTGTGGAAATTGTACAGCTGTGGGATTTGTATAGGCTATGTTACATTTTATATAGAAGATGTGTAGATTTTTGGTACGGCGTGTGGATTTTGTAAGGTAAAGGAAGTTCACATTATAGGCTACACTATGTACTAGTTTAATTGTTGAATAGATATTTCTAAAATTGCATGATTTCTTTGTGAAGTTATTATTAAACACTTCTTTTCCTGACCTTTTTGAATCTTGCCCCTGACAAATAACCCAAACTACAAAAAAAGACAAAAACTAACAGGAAAAACTAATAAAACTAAACTAAAACTTAGCCTTTTCAAAAAAATAGAAACTAAACTAAACTAGCAAACCAACTTTAAAAACTAATTAAAACTAAATTGAATTTGAAAACAAACATTAAAAACTAAATAAAAATAAAAACTAATGAAAAATGCAAAACTATAATAACCTTGCCAGTTCTTACGGTGTTGAGCTCGAGTCTGTTTAAAGTCAAGAGACTGAAATGTTGATTGTGTGTGAAAGTGTGTATTTCAGTGTGACTCTCAGTCCTGCAGTTTCATGTTATTGAGGATCAGCTCGTGTGTTCAATCATTTACACTCAATAATCTGAACTCACAGCAGCAGAAAGAGGCTGAACACTTCAAATATACTTTACATTGTGATTCATGTGTGAGAGTCAAATATGATCTTACCACAGTTTCTCCAGTTTACAGTGAGGATTCTGTAGTACATCACACAGCAGATTCACTGATTCTCCCATTTTATTCCCAGACAGATCCAGTTCTCTCAGGTGTTCAGGGTTTGATCTCAGAGCTGAAGTCAGAGCAGCAAAACCTTCATCTGTGACGTCACAATTCCTCAACCTGTAGAGAGATGAAAAACAAATAGTATAATTTAAACACTATCAAATAGTTTTCCAACAAATTCGAATTCTTATCCAAGGTTCAGTGCCGAGTTTTTCATGCTCACAAATCCTCTAACAAAAAGACAGATTATTAGCAAGTTAGATTTTCTTTATGCAGTGTATACTTTATGGTTTATTTATAACTTTGTGAGATTGTGAACTGAGATGAGTGACAGATTTATAATGATTGTAAAGGGAGCGCTCTTCCGAGGTTATACATAATACATTGAATAAAAGTTTAGTTTTTCTTGCTGCTGAGAGGACCGATGACCAATTACACGCTGCAAAATGGCAAGTCAAAATAGATACACACAACAGATTAATAGATAAATAGAAAAATATTCATGTCAATATATTTTTTAAATTTCATTCCAAATATTTGTAAAAGTAATGACTTGTAAATAATCTTAAATGTCTCATTGTACATTGCTATTCTTGTTCTGTAAGAGTCGTTGCTACACATTAAATCTGCACTTTACTAGAGAACCATCACTAATTTCACACACTCAGTGATTTGATTCTTAATTTATCAATCTGACAGTAAAATTAAAATGTGAAGTTTTAGTAAACTTTAAGCTAAACGAAAGTTAAACTTTAATTGTCTAATAGTCAAATATAAATGTATGACTCTGCTGTAAACCAGACATCAAATGTTTTTAGGAGACTCCAGTTGTTTACTTGGTCTTAATTTCTTTTATCATTTATTGTAAATATTTAAATTCCTTCTTTATGTGCAAGAACATTCAACTAGTAAACCTGATTTTATTTATCAAAAAAATTCTACATTGTCACGGTTTAAGAAACGCATCAAATCCTGACCACTGAACTCTACACAACATCTGCAGCACTGAAGATTGATGAACTTTTATTTTCTAATGTTTTAACAGTGAACTGATTGTTCTGATTGATACTTACTGAACTGATCTGGATTCTTTAATCACAGGAAGCAGCTTCAGAAGAACATTTAGTTGTTCAGTTTTATTGTCGCTTCCAACAAAATCATCAATATCAAACTTGTCCAGCTTCTCCTCTGATGTCAACAACACAAAGACTACAGCTGACCACTGAGATGAAGAGAGATTGGCTTTCTTTATTCCTCCAGATTTCAGATACTGTTGTATTTCCTCCACTAGTGAACGATCACCCAGTTCATTCAGACAGTGGAACAGATTGATGGATTTCTCTGGAGAGTCGATGGTCCTGATCTTCTCCTTGATGTACTCAACTGTTTTCTCATTGCTGTCAGATGTTCTCGTCTGTTTCATTAGTGTTTGTAGGAGAATCTGGAGAGACTTTACTGACAGACCCAGAAGAAACAGCAGGAAAAGATCCAGATGTCCATTTTTACTCTGTAGAGCCTCTTTCACAGCTCTCTGATGCAGCGCAGATAATGAAACATGTTCTGATGAATTTTGTCGAAACCAGTCCTTAACTTTACGCAAACTCAGTTTGGTGATTGGGTCAAACACATTTGTGTTGTTGATTGTACAGGAGAGATGCACATATAGAGCCGCTAGATGTTCCTGAACACTCAGATGAACAAAGCAGAAGACTTTCCCCTGATACCAGCCAAACTCCTCTCTGAAGATCTGAGTGCACAATCCTGAGTACACTGATGCTTCTGTCACATCAATGCCACACTCTCTCACGTCTTCCTCATAGAAGATCACATTGCCTTTCACAAGCTGCCGAAAAGCCAGTTTCCCCAGTTTGAGGATCAGGTCTTCATTGGTCACCTTCTTCTCATAGTCCTTCTCATGTTTGATGTTGGTCTGAAGGATCAGGAAGTGTGTGTACATCTGAGTGAGAGTCTTGGGAATCTCTCGTCTCTCTGCTTCGCTCATCATCTTCTCCAGAACAGCGGCTGAGATCCAGCAGAACACTGGGATGTGGCACATGATGTAGAGGCTCCTTGAGGACTTCAGGTGTGTGATGATTGTATTGGCCAGACTCTGATCACTGACTCTCTTCCTGAAGTATTCCTCCTTCTGTGGATCATTGAAGCCTCGTACCTCTGTCACTCGATGGACACACTCAGACGGGACGAGATCGGCTGCTGCTGGTCTGGAGGTGATCCAGATGAGAGACGAGGGAAGCAGATTCCCCACAATGAGGTTCGTCAACAACACGTCCACTGATTTCTTTTTGTTTTCATCTCGTAAAGTCTCATTCTTTTTAAAATGTAAGGGAAGACGACACTCGTCCAAACCATCAAAGATGAACAACACTTTATATTTGTCACTGGATATTTCTTTAGTTTCAGGGAAAAAGACATGAAGAAGCTCTGAAAGACTGAGTGTTTTGTCCTTCATCAGATTGATCTCTCTGAAAGGAAGTGGAAATATGAGCTGGACGTCCTGATTGTCTTTCTCTTCAGCCCAGTCCAGGATGAACTTCTGCACAGAGACTGTTTTTCCAATGCCAGCGACTCCCTTTGTCAGCACAGTTCTGATGGGTTTGTCTTGTCCAGGTAAAGGTCTAAAGATGTCATTGCATTTGATCGGTGTGTCCTCTGTTGCTGCTCTCCTGGATTGTGTCTCAATCTGTCTCACCTCATGTTCATTACTGATGTCTCCACTCTCAGTCTCTGTGATGTAGAGCTCTGTGTAGATCTCATTCAGGAGTGTTGGGTTTCTCTGCATTCCTGTTCCCTCATACAGACACTCAAACTTCTTCATCAGATTTGATCTAAACCTGTTGAGGACTTCATGGCTGTAAAATTAAAATACCACAGTATTAATAAACACAATGTCTTTTTTTAATCATATATTTTGTTGAAATGTAATACCTGAGATCAGTCTGTGTATCTCCACTCTTAAAATGTACTGGCGGACCCATAGACGTGTCACTCCTCATAGACACACAGCTGGACTCTGGCTCTGATCTCTTCTGATGAACTGAACTATAAAAGAGCTAAGTTAAACATATTTGTCATATCTATCAATAAAACAATAAATTTTCATGATTATTTAATTTACACTGTTATTAAAAAAAATTGCACACTGAAATTAGTTCTTTCACAAGTGTGTTTCTGTGTGAGCAACACTATACTGTATGCATTAAAATATTACATTAAAACATTCTTCTTGTACATTGTTTATATCTTGTAGAATATATTACCGATAATGTTCTGATAATATAAAATGCCATACTATAATCATATTTTTATAGAAATGTAATACCTGAGATCAGTCTGTGTATCTTCACCCTTAAAATTTATTATTTTACCCATAGACGTGTCACTCCTCATAGACACACAGCTGGACTCTGGTTCTGATCTCTTCTGATGAACTGAACTATAACAGAAATAGATTAAAGTTAATACACTGAATTACTGTATTTAAAAATCACATTTTCATTTATCATCCCAATGTTGATAAACAACCTGTAAAATCAACTAAGTGCTCTCATACGTCTCTCATGTGTGAATAACACTATATACATTAAAAGATTAGTTACACTGTAAAAAATAACTGTAAGCAATGTCCAAAAATCATTTCTCATATCTTGTAGAACATATTACAGATAATGTTTGGATAATATAAAAGGTCATACTCTAATCATATTTTTTTAGAAATGAAATACCTGAGATCAGTCTGTGAATCTTCACCCTTAAAATATATTATTTGACCCATAGACGCGTCACTCCTCATAGACACACAGCTGGACTCTGGTCCTGATCTCTTCTGATGAACTGAACTATAATAGAAATAATATTTTAATATAAGTTCTTAAATTTTATTTGAAACAATTACACCAGCCAGTTTTCTTTAAAATTAAATACTTTTTAAGTTTTTAGCTTGATAAAAACATCTTGCCTGTAATTTAAAGATTCAATCTGTAGTTTATTCAAAATACCTGCATCCTGGATAAAAATCTTCATCTCTGGATGTTTGAGTCTCATCCATGATGAAGCTGAACAGTTGAAACAAAATCTGATCTTCACCACTGACTCTGAATGGAAATGACAAACAAACACAATAATTCACAATAATTCAGCAGAACGGATCCTGAGATTCAGAGAAACAGGATCATGAGACGCGGCGTTCACTCAAATACACACTGTTAGTCGTATATTCACACAAATGCTAAATAAACCACAGACAACACGACACAATGATGGCATGTTTGCACTTAAATGAAAAATATCAAACTCATAAAATAACTAATATGTCCTTTAGGGGAAAAAGGCTAATATTGGCCTAAATGCGGAAGTCAGCTGTAAACGTCTCGAGACCTGAACACTCACCTTGATCAACGTTCATCACATTCAGATTCACAAAATCCACCGCCGTTTCTAGCAAGTATTTAGGCTACACGTAAATTCGTGTCTGAGCTTTTATGAAGGTTTTCATTAAACGCTTTGCATTTGATAATCAGTAATATAATCGATTCCGGCGGTTTAAATGGCGAAACATCAACTCTGATCTTTTACTTTCACTTTTTGTTACGCGCAAAACAATGATGGCGTCACGTTACGCGCGCGCTTGAGTCTTGCACTTGTTTGTTAAACCACACTCGCAGTAGCAACTAAACAGAATATAGCAGTGAGATATATATATAGCATAACTAATTTAATTCCGTGCCCGACCCGTTTGACAAAGACCGCGACCCGAACCGCACCAGCATTAAATCAGTGGTGACAAAAATAATTAATGTTCTTTCTTATGTAACACAATCACAACATTAGCCATTCTTTTTTTTGGTTAACTTGGTCGTTAATGTTGTATGGCGGATGGTTTTACTCCATAAAAACTGTAAAACAAAAGCTGGAACCCGCCTTTGAATTTAATAGACTAAAAACGAGTTAATATGAACATGCGCGCCTCAGGAACGGACAGGTGTCGTCATCTTATTCTTCTTCTTTGGTGTTTATTGGGGGTTAGCAATCTCATTGGTGCATTACCGCCACCAACTGGAATGGAATATGGATCAAGATATTTACTTTAATACAAAATA